TTTTAATTAAATTAGCCCATTAATCCCAATCCAGTCGTATTTTACTGAAAATCTTAACATAATTTAGTTAATAACTTACATTGAAATTCCTTGAGACGCATGAGAAATGTAGTTATCCCATATACCACACTAAATACAAAATCGGAGAATCTGACCAAAAACATTCCTGACTAATGACAAAATGTGAACTAGTTTAATCTTCATGAAATATAAAACCCAAGAGGCAATTATCCCTCTCCTGTGCAATGTGAGCATCAAGGCCCAAGTATATCTATAGCAAACTAACCAGCCACTTTTAGAATACTTACCGAACTTGGAGTCTGCACAGGGCTCCTACACCGTACAGGGGATAAATCTATTGAATAAAAAACCTCAAGTGATGCTCGAGTACCACTCTGAGGGCTTCTCGGAGAAGCTGGAGGTAAGGAGTCAGAGATACTTCCATTGCCATCTAAAAATAGCTTTCTTCTGAGGGATGAAGAACTGAGGTTTCCTGGAGATTGATCTGCAAATTCATCAGCTCTAAAATAGTCACCTATATTTAATGTTAACAGAATAAAAGGCAAAGGTAATCATTCTGAAGGGCAATTATACCTGAGTTAACTTACTTTTTTTAAAACCAGAATGTACTACATATTTGAATTTTTTTCAAAAAGAGGGCAAAGTTTAACTGCATATGTGATGTTTGAAATTAGAAATTATTCCTTCTTTTTGATTGCTTCATTATTAGTATAGGTAATACCAATGAGATGTGTCCATGAATAGTTCATATCTATAGTAAAGTTCATTATGAGAAAAAGGCTAATTTAGGCTATGTTAAAGAAAAAGAAATTTCAGAATGGTTTCCCCACTTCTTTAGAAAGAAACATATTTCCATTTATAAAAAGCTATCAAAACAAAGCCTTTTATTTAAGTTATTAAAGGTTTGAGGAAGTACAATACTTACCTAATACATTTTCTAAATTAAAATCCACAGGAAGAGACAGCAATGTCTGACAAGCAGCTGGAAGCAGGCAGATAAATAAATACAAACATGTATAAATCGATGCAAGTATATAACATGCAATTTAGCATGTGCTTCCCAATCAACCATTTCCCCATGATATACCGGCCAAACTGAATTACTTTATTTATGCATTCCATTAAATAACACGCTACCTTTCTATAAGTGGTTTCTCACACTTGCCAGCACAGCTATTAACCTCTTAATGATAAAAGTTAATTCCTCGTTGTACTGCTGGCACTTGAAATGAAAAGAGGTACCACCCTATATTTAGGAACAGATTTCCAAATATTAACAAATTTAAAAAAAATGCTTTTCAAAACCAGAAATCAATTCACATATTTTAAACAAGAAAACAACACACTATTGTAATTTCTAAGACATGGCTGCATGTATCTATTCTAATTGTTTAAGTCAGCTCTTATATAGCTCATTCATAAAAAGTAAATCATTTCAATTTCACAGTAAAGTGCTGTTACATGAACTGAATTTAAAAGCAAATCTAGCTTAGTGTAGAACACATTGCTCTTCAGATTATATTCACACTCACCATTGCTTTTCTCAGAATGGATGGTCAGCTTCCTTCCAACTGGAGATTCATTATTTATGTTAATGCCTGTAAAACAGTTTTAGTGAAAAATGTGACATTTTATATTCTTCATTTACTATAGGGTTACTTTTTTCCTAGAGTAAAAAAAAAAAATGAACACAGTGGAAATTTTATTTTACAATTTAAAAATAAATGTCTGCATAAGCAAGTGTACAATTTGGCATTTTTCTGTTAAGTTTTTTTTTTACCTTCAAGGGAGCACAAAGATAAAACGTGAAGAATTACCATAGAAAATAAGGAGGCACCAAGTAACACTTTTTAGGGAAAGCATGGTTGCACTCCATGATATCAGTTGTAAAAGGCTCAGGATACCAGCCATCCTCATTTCCTCAAACAGATCGTGTGTCACTTTTGCAAAATGGGTTTAGATAAGTTGTCTGAATTAAAATGCTAGATCATTTTGACAAAACCTAGAATTTGATAAATAAAAACATGCTCAGTTTTTTTTACAACAGGAGTGAAAATATGGCTGTAAATAATTTTTTTTTAATTGACAGTTAATGACTAGATACTAAGCTTCATAACTTGAAAATAACCAGACAGAAAAACTACAACACAAGGATAAAATGACTAATATAAGCAAAATAAAAGGAAAGAAAAAGCACGGAGACAAAACCCACCCCCAAAGCCTAAGATGACAGCATAAAGACTAGCAACCTAATAAACCTTAATAAATAAACGGGTTTATGAGTAAGTGGGTGGAGAGCTGATGAATTAAAGTCTCCTGTTAAATACTATCAGAATGGGTAAAAAATAAAAATGAAATTCAAGATTTAAAAGTCATCTTTGCTGTATTTCACCTTCTGTGAGGCAAATGTAATCAAGGCACTCCTCTGGCAAAACCCTGTAATGTCCTTGGTCTTTAGGCTGCCTAACACCTGAATGCTGTAGAGAGCCCTTCAAAATGTGTCTCTTTCTCTAGCATGCTTGTCTCCAACTAAACACTGTTTATTTAAATACTTAAAATATTCTATTTTCTCTCTCTCACCTCTAGGTATTTCTTGTATTTTTTTTTCTGACTTTTCTCCCACATTTGTGAGACCAGCTAACCAAATCTCAGCTTAAACTGTATCTTTTGGCCGCATGCCTTCCCTGACCTCCTTAGATCAGACACCTACAGCAGCATGCTCAGAAAACATTTTTTGGCTCTAATGCAAGTGTTCTCTTGGTTGTTTTCCCCAGAGGCATTGCTTACAGAAGTTTAAGACCATAGTCAAGTGAGAAACAAACTGATGTATTTGATACCACCAAAATAAGCATTTCTATGCAACCAAAGACATGAAAAACAAAAACATGTATATGATAGAATAGGCGATGGTATTTGAAATGTTTAAAACCAACATAACTACATTATACAAGGTATCTTGGAAATTAACAGGAAAAAAGACAGCAACTCCAATAGGAATATGACCCATGAATTATAAATAAATTTTACAAGGAAATTTACAAGGTCACTAGTATATGAAGAAATGAAAATCACAAAAATCATTTAAAATGTCAAACAACCCATTAGAAGGGCAACAATTTGAAAGATGGATAATGCCAAATCTTGGCAGGGACGTGTGGACATGGGCGCCCCAGGTGCTGCTGGTGGCCAGGTGGCCTGTGCAGGGGACATGGGAACCCCAGGCGCTACTGGTGGCCAGGTATCCTGTGCAGGGGACACAGGAACCCCAGGCACAGCTGGTGGTCGGGTAGCCTGTGCAATCATACTGGACGGTGGTGAGCACTGCACTGTAAGTTGGCTAAACAAACTGCCTGTGACTTGGGAAGTCTTGGCCTATATATTCCAAAGAAATTTTCACTCAAGTCCATAAATAAAAACATGTGGATATTCATTGAAGCACCCTGCTACATAAATGCTATTGATAGTAAAAGTTAACAGTATAAGCCAATATGTATAAACAAAACCATTTTTGCCCCAACTTGTCATTTCCTTTTTAATGTTCAGATAAATAATATTGAGCATTTCCCATGTGCAAGGTACATGATCATAGAGGTATTATCTCATTTGATCTTCACAATAACCACCATTTCACAGATAAGGACAGTAAGGCACAGAAAAGTTAGGTAACTCACCCAAAGTCACACAGCCAGTAAACTGTATTAGGCAATGATTCAACCCAGACAATGTTACTGTAAAGTAAGGGTCCACACAATATAGCCCATGGGACAAATTTGGCTTGTTGCCTAATCTTGCAAATAAAGTTCTACTTTAACAGCCCCACGCTTATTCATTATGAATCAGCAGTGGTCACTTTCATGGACAGCAGTCGAGCTGAATATTTGCAACAGAGATTGTGTCATCTGTCAAACCTAAAATATTTAATTTTTGGTCTTTTACAGATAAAATGTTGCCAACCTCTACAGTAAAGTAGCAAGGCCCAAAATAACTTTTCCTGTGATAATGGAGGTGTTCTCTATCTGTGCTAGCCGATATAGTCACCACTAGTTTGGTCACTGCACATGAAATGTGAATAGCATGACTAGGGAATGAAATTTTTAATTCTGATTTATTTAAATTTAAATAGTCACATTTGACTAGAAGCTACCATGTATCAAGAACTGTGAAAGCTCTGAGATTTTGCCCTACTTGTAAGCTGACAAATTAGTGTGTCAATGTTCCGTGGATGCTGGCTGAAGACATGAGGCTTCTGGGACAGAGACAGAGGACTTCATTCTTTCCTGCACAGCAGCTGCATGAACTTCATGTTCACATCAGTTCCCTCTGACCCCTAAGTCCCAAGGAGGTGACATGAAACAGCCCAGGTGGATGTGACACACATAGTAGATCTTTGTCACAGCTGAGGGGGGAGCCCTGAGCTTGGAAAATCCTGTTCTTTTATAAGCTGCAAGCAAACCTGATCCAGAGGGAGTCAAAACCTACCCTCTGCTCCAGAGTGACACAGCATCTCTACCTTCCAATTGCATTGTTCACAATACAAAAATATTGTTGAAAAGACAAAACCTATCATACCACTCCTTACTTAATGAGACCCATGGACAATTGTTTCTCAGCACCACATTGAACAGGTGGCCCTGGAGCCCACCCTATCAACCACTGTGCTGTCATCACGGGCTTGGTTTTCAGCATCTTTCTGATCCTACGTCACTTTCACTAAAACAGGATACTTGGAATACGAAACTATCTTATAAAAAGGATCACATAAGTTAATTTAACTGCTCAAAAACACAACATTAAAGAATTCTGTAGGAAAAAAGACAGTATCTATAAAAATGTCACCTTGGAAATAGAATTTAAACTGGGAGAGGTATTAATAAACAACTTCTTTATTTTACAAAGAAAAACCTGAGGTCTAAAGAGATTGAATAATTTGATCAAGCTCATCCCTACTGGCTGATAGCATCAAGTTTATAACCTGGACACACAGATGAACAAGTCTCCCTGTACTATAGCACACAACCTTTAGTTTGTAATGGCTGAGAATTCACTCTAAACCAAGAATGCCTAGTTTAGAATCCAGGTTCTACCACTTTTATCTCTGTAATCATGAGCTAATGCTCTAGCCTTCCCCAAACTAGGTCTTCCTACCTATAAAGTGGGGCCAATGATAGCACCTACCTCTTATGGGCTGTTACATGAATTACTGAAAGCACTTAGCACTGTCCTGGCATATGGAAAGTGCTCAATCCATTTTACCTACTACTGTTGGGTTTCTGATAAAGTATAAAACAAATATTCTCTCTTATCCTGAGAGCATAAATAATGTATGCTACATAGAAGAGTGGGCAATTCTAATGAAATGAGGGATATCTGAACACTGCTCATGACCCAAAGGACAGCAAGAGCAAATAAAGATAACCATTTCCTGGAGGTAGAAAAACATTTGAAAGATTAGTGGCTTGCCCTTCAAGTTCTTTATTAATTTTGAAGATAATCAGCTGTATTACAATGTCCTAGAGGTCAAGTATCCATCCCTCCTCTGCCTTTATATGAAATCAGCAAATTAGAAAAGAGCAAAGCAACTTAAGGTTTTCACTTAAAAAAATTAACCTTCAGAATGATGGCAAAAAATCATTTAACAACTCAGCTCTTTGTTTGTATCAACTATTTCTACATCTATAGATCCTCTACAACTATCATTATAACTGACAATGGTAATGAAGAAAAAGTGAAATTCAGAATAGAATGGCCAAAATAATTCAGGACATGTTAGTCAATTTTTTAATCCTAACCCTTAAATAGTTAAATCCTCTAGTATCCAGAAATTTAATTTGTAGCAAGCTCCTTACCAAAGCAGATAAACTGACACTTTATTAAATGTTGCTTTCCATTCACTTTTTTATGTTTCTATGATTTTTAATCATATGATTTTTTAGTACACTCACATTTACTGGAATGATACTCTGCAAGCTGTTTCCCTTCATGGTCAGTCCAAGGAGAAGGTACGATTACATCTTTAGTAAAAAACTAGGAAAATAAAAGTCATACAATTAGGCATATATTTCTCCCAAAATACGATAGAGTAGCTGTGTTATTTTCAAATAACCATCAAACACATTCTATACTTACTTCATAATTATACTTAAAAGAGAAATCTTAATACTTTAAATCAAGTGCTTAAATTTAAAATTTGCAAAGTAAGCTAAGGATATTAATCATAAGAGAAAAATATTTTGAATTTCTCTCCCAGTTTTTTTTTAGGGAGGAATGATAAAAGGGAGGATGAAGAGGGAAAAATAAATGGAGATATATGTATACATCTAAGCAAGAATGAATGGTGTGCTGGGGCCAGTTTCGTTGGCTCTCCAGAGCTAATTCCTACATTTTCAGGTATTTTGTGCTTCTGTCCTTGAAGCCAATATTAAAATTACATAAACTTGAATAAGTAAACTGTATTAAAAATAAAAGTAATAAATACTCAAAATCATCAGTCTATTTTACTACATTTACCAGTATCTATGCTCTTGAGGTTAATTCTGTCTTCTGTATCTGTATGGTGGCACTCCCACATATAACGGTGTGCCGCTGAGCTTCTTTTCCCATTTAGGGATGTCACATCAGTAGCTTGAAAGTGGCTATGGCTGGAGTATTTGCATTATGGGCATCAGCCATTACTATAAATCATACTCTTCCCACAACCAGAGGGCCAGGAGTTAACCACTTACCAATACACCATGGGCCAGTATATTCACATGGAGGTAAAGCACTTGGATACATTTTCCCTCTTTCATTCCAAATATACAATTAGGCTTAATATAGTATCTTTCCTTTCCCTCTCTCTGTTTTGGGGACAATTCAAAGTATTTTGTTTCTATTTTGCTATATGTGTGGCAAAGAACTAATTTCCTTGACCAAACTATCTAAGAATACCTGAGGAAAAAAATGTAAAAAAAATAGGTGAGAGTGTATAGATAAAGACAATTCCCAGAAAAAAAAAAGAATCCATAAATTTACGAAGCACTGTAAAAGTTTACAGAAAATGAAAGATAAATCCAAATAACAAGATGAAATGTTTAAAGTAGTAAAAGTAGCACAAATTAAGAAGTTTGAGCATAACCAGCATTGTAGATAAGAGAAAACAGGAAGTATCATAGTGTAGCCAGGAGTAAAAACTGGTAACCTTTTGGGCAATATGGTAAAATTTACCTGAACTAAAAACATAAAAGCCTCTAACTTAGCAAAGCCCATTTCAATCACACAGATGAACAAGTATGTTCACTGCAGCATTATTTGTGATAGAAAAACACTAAATACAATATAAACATTTATCAATAGGGGCTGGGTTAGGTTATGATATATTCACAATGGATTACTATACTATCACTAAAAATCTGTATGTACTGATAATCAAAAAAATCTAAGAAATACTATTAGGCAAAAAAAAGCAAGGTGCAAGACAGTATAAGAATGCTGATCCTATTTGTGTAAAATATTTAAAGGGCATGTGCTATTTACATACATGAAATTAATTTGGAAGTATAAATATTACAGTAGTTACTTTTAGAAAGTGGGATGGGAGAACAGGAGACTCTAAATTTTCATTTTCTATTTTTTCTTTGCAGTTTGATCTTTTTGCTTTGTTTCTACTATGTGCATGTATTTAGTCTATTTTCAAATATGTACACATACATGAAAAAAATATTTCAGTCAATTATTTTGTTGCTAATATATTGACCCTAATCTTCACCTCAGACTTTATATTCTTAATTTTTCTGGTGAATTTCCTTTTAAAGTTGAAGATTCTAAAGAGAAAGTAGATTTTCCAAAATGTTAGGAAATGGGAAAGAATCTGAGAATGCTCAGCTGGAAAGGAGTTAAGTGATTGGATCCAAAGGAAAAATTTTAAGTTACTAGATACAGAAGTAGATAATGTTCAGCAGGGGTAAGGTATATGAAACTGTTTTTGAAGAAACAGGCTCTATCTGAAAGGCGACAACAAGGGAACAACATCAACACTAGAAAATTAAGTGCAGGAGGGGCCAGAGCATCACCTAATCTCTGAACGTGCCACAGCTGAAGTCTTTTTGGGTAGAGTAGAACTAAATATCTAAGAAAGAAACGTGGGTATAAGGGCCGGCATGGGAAGAAGGAAAAATAATGTTGCCATGACATAAAGATTTTCTACAGAAATAACTAAATAGACAACCCTCATTTGCACTCTAGGAGTGCAGCAAACAAAGAAACAAAAAGGGAAAAACTTCATTTTATTAAAAAAAAAGCCCTAAGTTTGTGGTACACTTTTTCCATTTTACAGTAAGACATTTTATTTCATGAAATATATTACAGATCTCATTTTAGATCTCACAAATCCAAAGTATTGACAACAAACGATAATCCATTACTGATGCTAATTCAGATTCTCACAGGCTAAAAATATTCAATTTCCTTTACATAAACTCCAACTTGAAACAGAACTTTGTGCTAAACGATATTCTGAAGTCACAAGGCAGACAAACTGTGCTACGCCCTGGGAATGAAAGGATGAATGAAGCACAATATTGGCCAAAAAAAGAATTCAGTCCAAGAGAGAGAAGCACTAAACTGATCATTACAATAATATCTAAGCACTCTGACAGGCCCTGGGGTAGCTGAAGAACACTGGTCTTAGGAGAGCAAGAGGGGCTCTTCACACAGCTGGAGACCAGGCAGGTTGGGGGGAGGTTGGGGCAATAAAGGATTTGAAAGAAATCTTCCTAAAAGAGGTGATGTGCATGCAGATTTGATGCTTAACTGGCATAGTGATCAGCAACAGTTTTAAGTTACCTCTTCAATGGCTTTTTGTCTTTTGTCTTCCACATCTTTATCTATTCTATACAGAGATAAAGAAGAAAAATAACAATGCCATTACTTCAGCTGATTGAACATTAAAAATAATAACCTTTCAAAAAAATAATTTCCTTCTGTTGAAAATGGGCAAATGTTAAGCTCATTTTAAAGAAAAATTGGTATTTTATCACATTTAGTAAATGACCGTATTTAGATATTTGACATTGTGCAGTTAGGCTCACCTCCCTCTTTTCCATTCACAGTCAGAATGGAATATTTTCTTTTAAAAGGCTTACACTGATATAATTTAAAAATTACTAACAACATAAAGTAATTTGAATAAACTTTGTCCTTTAATCACCACAAATTAAGAAGCATTTTATTCCACAGAAATCTAAAATTGTTCAAACCCTTTGTCTTCAATTATAACAAATTTATCATGGCCATAATTTGGGAATCAACTCTTACTCTGAAATAGAGGAAAAGAAACTATCATCCTTATAGTTCTGAATAGGCAAAAATACTAATTGAATAAAAAAATGAATAAATAATTTAATGAAATGAAATATTGACAATATAAACTTTTGTCCAAACGAATTCTTTTTTTTCTCATTTTGATATAATATGCAATTACAGCAACACAAGTGTATCAGCTATAAGATTTAACATAAAATGTCGGGTCCCAAGCACAAAACATACACCTGCCAAGGACTCAGCAGTTAGCGTTGTAGGACCACTTTTTCATGTTCCAGGAAAGAATATTTGCATTCTGTCAGTATATTATTCAGAAACTTTTTTTAACAACAATTTATTTTCTCTTAAAATTTTTCATGTATATATTTGCGGCTGACCAAAGCTTATATAAGAATGCACACATTTCAGAAAGTAAAATCAAGTGAATTTTTCAAGTAAGGAAATTATGAGAAAATAGACTACATTGATAATTCACGTATCTACAGATTGAGTAACAGTCATTTTGAGGGTAACTCATGGATGTAACCAGGTCAAATGACAGTGCATAATAATAATAATAGCATATCATATTAATAAACTCTGATCTAGGACTACCTCATTCAGAAAACTTTTGCTGCTTCATCAGAGGGACTTTAAGAACCTGAAAGTCCCTGATTGTTGGAAGCAGTGAAAATCAGTTTGGCCAAATATTGTAAGTCAGCCAGATCATGAAAGGTTCTAAGAAGTCATATAGCGTACAATATCCTGATGAGTATATAACAGAACACTGGCATAATGCATACAGGTTACAGGGATGCCCTGAATGGATTCTTGGGGTGGGAGTGGTGGGCTGTTTCAGAATTGTTCACCTGTATCAACAGACTCATTTGTTTATACCAGTACACCTTACAGTTATTTTCTATGTGTAGCATGGTATAAAAAAGGTAGGAAGCACTGAAATAGGGAACTCAGATTAGAAAAGAAGAGACATTGGAAGCCACTGCTTGTTTCTAAGAATGATGCAACATGTTTTGTTGAGAATATACTCACTACGTCTAGTTAAAGCCATTACCATTCATTTACATTAACAAATTTAAGTTAAAATGAGGGTATTTTTCCACTCTTTTCCCCTCCTTTATATTACAAATTTATCTACTGAAATACACCAAGATTCTTTGCAGGAATCTACCCAAAGAATACCTCATTTGTTAGTAAGTACAGAAATGTTATGTCACAACTTTGTTAACTGTAATTTTGACTATAGAGGTCAGGAATAATACCTCATACTCCTTCAGTGTTCCTCCTAGTGCTCAGTAAGTACCCTTAGACTGACAGATAATCGTTGTCCACGGCTGAATATACTGACCTAGCAAAATAATAAAGTGTGCAGTTTTTGGGTGAAACAAAAAATGTGTCTCATTTGTGACTCATTTACTTCTAGATATTCTTTTTACCCTCTGTTTCAAAGGTATTATGAAGATTTAAGTTAAAATCCTTTCATGCTGTATCCCATTCTATTTCCTTTCTACAACAATTTGGATGGACATTAATTTATTTGGATGGACAGGAAGGGGTAGAAAAGCCAGACAAATATTTGCAGTAACATCTCAACATTTTTGTGTGACTAAATTCTTAAGCTAAAGGGTAAATGATTATTATATTGAACTGACAGCACATGTGCCTTGGGACGGAAAATTAAAAAAATACCAGTATTCTATTTTTTCAAATATATATATAAAAATCAGACCATAAAACGGACATCAACAAGAGTCCCTCAAACCATTAACGAATACTGCTACCTATAATTTACAAATATTGTTATTTGTAATAATTAATTACAGATTATTGCAGTATGTAATACAAAACTAAGTACGTTCTGCCAAAGAAATGCATGTTCTCACTACATTAGGCATCATTAATCAGGACAAGTCTGAAGCACATTAGTGCTTGGAAACCTATACAGTATATCAACAAATAAGTTAGGGCTGTTCTCATTAGTAGGCTGAATTCAAGACAACGTAATTCAGATCCCTTAAGTGTCCTATGTCAAAGTTGGATGGTATCTAGAAAATCTCTCTCTATTGCTAATGGATACTCTTCCATTCAATGAATCTTAACTTGGTAAGGGGATTTAGGCTTCCCCAAATGTACATGGCAATGACTCTGCATTTGCTTTACTCCACCACACACCAAAATACAAAAATTCAATGGCAGAAGCCACAGTCATGCAGAAAGGTACAAATTTCAAAATGTTCTTCCCTCTGTCAAGTGCTGGGGAGGGAGACTTATCCCATAAGTAAATAGAAGGAGAAGGTTATCTCTAACGAAAAAGACTCCTACCCAATTTTGTAACTTAGCAACAGAAGCTTTCTGAATGTAGTTCCTTGAACTCACTGCTCATTGAGATACAATAAATCTGTGTCAAAATTTTTCCTCCCTGATATCATTACATATAAAAATATTCAATTTTCTCACTTCATTTGAGAGAATGTTATATCACTTAGGTGCAAGAAAAGAAAACTTACCGAGAATGACTTAAGTATAAAGCTTGACGATGAATGTCTTCTGGGTCTATTTCTACAGGATTTATTACAGCTAGTTGATCAATAGACCATCTAAATTTCCCTGGAGTCTTAACAAAAGAAAGTGAGCTTATGAGTTAAAACAAACTAAAATAGTTCATCAAAATGCTAAGCAATGTCAGCTTCAAAAATAATGTGGATGTTTGTAATATAACAGTATTTTAAAGCTCATATTTTAAAAATGGACTTTACTACTAAATTAAGTGGCAAATGATAACAAATCACACTACATCGACTGACTGGACTGTATCTTTTAAAAAATATCCAAATCTTCCATCTGGATGATTTTTTTAAATTTCATAATAGAAAAATTACAGTGGAATAATAAAGGCATTCTACAATTAGTACTCATCAGTAATGCAACATCCCTCATGTAAAAGTATCTCCTATTAGAGCTTGCAAAGACCTTTACTTTCACTAAGAAAGAACTAAAATTAAACAGTCCCACTACAAAAGTGCCTGCAAGAGCACATGAAATAATTGAGCCTTAAAATAATTATGAATGGTAATCAGTGCTACCTTTCTGTATTCAACTGCTAACTGAACCAAAATTATCCAAATCCTAATCTATAATTTGCAAAGTATTTTTTACAAATTCAGGGTTAAAAACCCAAGATGCCATACATTCTGACTTTGAGGATTTAGTTGCAACCATTGCATTACTTTTAAGACCAACAGATTTTTTTACATCTAAAATTTAATACAGTTTAATTAAAAATCACGAGGTCAGATAATGAGCCAAAATAAACTAACTTTTCTCCAGTGTGTACCTGCTCTTTGTTTAAACTGCTATGAAAGTGTAGCATAAACAGCCACCCAGTTGGCAGTTTTTGTAGGTAATTTACTAGGTAAAACAACACACTTCAAAAGAGCTTCTCCAGTGTGGCAAATAACAGTAAAAATAAGCTAAAGTGATGAAGTCTTCCCTAACCTCCAAAAGAGTGCTTCCCCTTTGATATCACTCTTTTGTTTCACTAAAATTGCAGCACACATCATATTCCTTTGAAGTTGCTAAGTTAGTTGTGTCTATTCCATTAGAATAGAGGTTGGTTCCTTGATACAATCTGCAAGCTAAGAATGGTTGGGAAAAAAACCCACCAAAATATTAATGTTTCATGAGATGTGAAAACTGCATGAAATTCAAAACCCACTGCTCATAAATATAGCTTTATTGGAACATTGCCACGTTATTTACATATTGCTTATGACTGCTTCTGTGATACAAGGCAGAGGTGAATATCTGTAACAGCAACCAGATGACTTGCAAAACCTACACTATTTACTTCCTGGCCCTTGATGGAAAACGTTTGCTGACACCTACATTAAAGTATAAGCTCCTTGAGCGTTTGTGTCTAATGACCATGACTTGTTCACAGTGTAATCTCCATACCCAGCACTGGATGACACATGGCAGCATCCAAATAATGTTTGCTCGACAAGTGAGAATAGTTAGATAACATAACTTCTTCTCTAATGGTATTAGCAGATGTATCACTAACCAGAGTGTCTAGCTACACTCACAGCTGCAGGAAGCCAACATGCAATCCATTGAATAAAAAAATAGAAATGCAAATTAAAAAAAATTTTCCAGCTAACTTATTTTTAGCTCAACCACTACATTGTAATGAACACTGCAGTTAGAAAAAAAATCCAGATTATGCTCCATGATCAATTTCCCCTTACCTTGTAAAGTCGTTTACACTTAAAATTACTTGTAAACACGAGTCAAGAATAACTTACTGGTAATTTTGTTGATTTAAAAACAGAAGGACTGGAGAGAGTTTGTTCATGGAGATTAGAATAATCACCAGGACTTTCGAAAGGATTCAAAACAGGGACTCTTCCTGGAGTTTCCGGTGTTATTTGCGTATTTGATTCTCTGACATCTCCCATAGCACAGAGAGAAAACTAAAAAGAAATCAGAAGTATGTGTAACAGAACGACTAAGTTCCTCTGACATTCATTTTGACAACTGAAATGTATTCAATAAACATTTATTTCACAAAAAGAAAATTAAAAATCTAACATTTTTCTCAAGTGATCCTTGAAATAACCTTGAAAGTTAGAGAGTACTGTGTTAGTGATATCATTCTGCAGAATCACAAGATCAGAGAAGTTAAAGCACTTGTAAGAAGCAGATAACTACATATGAGTGGCTCTGCCTTCGAGGCAACTACATGTTACAATATGCACAAAACCCTTCCGGCTAAAGGACTTACACCTATAGTTTTTTTGTTCATTATCCCAAGTCTTCTAACACTTTGAACATCCTTCGTATATCCCAGAAATTCCCTATCACATTGCAGTTGCTAAACAACTATTTATAGCAAGCAAATACGAGACGAGAAAGCTTGTGCACGGGTGCTTTTCTTACACATTAGCCCCCGTCACATAAGTATGCCTGATTAGGGCTACGAAATTAACCGCCTTTGGCTGCCCCTCCTCAAACATCCTCCTTTGGCTTAAGACCGCCAGGGAAGTAATCGAGACAGGATTACTTCCAAAGTGGGCTATAATTTGAGAATAAATCCACTTCTTGGAAGGGTGAAGTGCAGCCGGCTTCTTGCGGTGAAGGGCAGAGGAGGACAGTCACGCCGGTGTCACCCCCAACCCTATGCTATCACTTTATTGGCGCCGGTCTCTGCCTCTCCTACACCCTCGCTGCTCCCATTCACCCCAAGGCAGGCAGGTCTAGAGCTGGAAAAAGTGAGCTCTCCAATTGGGACAAGAAGAAAGGCCAAGAGCTACACAGAACGTACCTAGTGGTGTGTATAAAAAGGAAGCCCCCAGTAGCGCGATTCCGGGCGCTCCCGAGGGGCCAGGACAGCTCCCCGAACAGGCATAGATTCTTTAACTCCTCGCTTCCGCGATGTCTGAGGCCAACCAGGGCACGGGCCTTGAAGGCCACTGCCAATCGCATCGCACCGCTGTCCGCGAACCGGCCAATCGCATCAACGTCGCGTAGTACATTCGAATTAGCAGGTCCTCGCTTCACATTCCGCGCAGAGCAACGAGGCTCCAAATTTAAATCAACGCAGCCTCACGAGCCTCACGACGAGCGCGAGGGGCGGAGCCTGCTGGCGTGAGCGGGGACGCGCGGTGTGGTCGCCCAGGAGAAGGGCAGGCGCTCCGGTTCCGGGTTAATCCCTTCTCCCGCCTCTGCCGCCCTCCGCCATGGCGAGTAGCAGCGGCGCCGGGGCCACGGCGGCAGCGAATCTGAATGCGGTGAGGGAGACCATGGACGGTGAGTGCCCGTTCTGCCCCCTTTCCTTGCCTCCTTTTCCAGGGCCAAGGCGGCCAGGCAGGGTTGCGCCTAAGAGGACTTCAAGCCCACCCCCTTTCCCCAACGGCATCCTTGAAGATCCTCCCGAGCACCCGCCGCGGGGGCAGGGCTGGCGGGCGCCTCCTGGAAGGGCTGTCCCTGCGCCGCTCTGCAGTTTGCGGCGCGCTCGACGTTTGGGCGCCGCGTCAGCCCGGCGCACGCCCCGCCCCCGCGGTTGGGCCCGCGGCGGACCCAGTGCGGAGCGCCCCGTGCCCTCCTCCCGAGGGGGGAGCGCTTCCGCAGCTCTGAGACCAAACCTCGCGCGGACAGCGGCCTTGTGTGCTCGGTCATCGCGGCCTCCTTTGTCCCTGGCACCTCAGTAAGCACTTTTAGACTATCCGGCGAATGAACCAAGTGGTTTCTTCACCATTCCCGTTTTGTGGCGGGTGACACCGATGTCTGCGTCTGCGGGCATATTTACCTGTTTCTGCCCGCCGAGTCACGTGGGCGTAAAGCCTCTGTGCACACGTGGTGGGAGACGATGGCAGTGTCTTGCAATAATCCTCTGTCCTGTAACGCTGGCTTTGCCACCTTATACCGCTGGTATAAGTAGCACTAGCTACTTAAGTTATCTTTGAACTTGTTTCTTTGTTTTCCCTGTAAATTGAAGTTACTACCTCCTACGGTTATTGAGAGTATTTAAATAAGATAACCCAGTAAAGGCATAATATCAAAGGTTATGATGACAGGTAGCTTTACTCGGTTATTTTTGTGTTATGTCGGATGTCATCCCACTTGCAGAATCATTTGTCTCCATTTTACTTGCATCCGCCAATATGTGAGTGAGAGATGGATGTTCAACATTGCTTTTTCGCATTTTCCAGGGTATACCCACATCAGCCTATTAAAACTATTTTTATTAGATAGTGTCAGCCTTCCGGCCGTATTTTATCCTTCTTGGCTATCGGCTGCACTTCCTGATTGAGGGGTCTCTAGTAATGGTTCTGCCTTTTTCTGCATTGGCTCCTGCTTTCCTTTTCAAAGAATTATTTTTTAGAGCCTTTTCATCGAATGTTTTAGATGAAGTATCCACTTCGTTGTTTTTCTGAAAAGTAGAATTTTGTTCTTAACACCCTGTTCAACTTGTTTCCTGTTCCTTCTTGAAACATCACAGCGTATTAGTTTTACTGTGTAAGTGGATTTATGCACACAGAAGTTATTGTGTACATAACATTACAAGTCTCCATCCTACCAGGTCTGAAAGTAGAGCGTTCCTTTGAAACCTTTTGTAAACTGAAATGGCATAAAGCGAAGGAGCAATTACCATTATTTTATACGGAAAAATCGTTGAAGATGTCCAGACCAAAAAATAACCTCTCTTAACCCTTCTTTGATACCTCAGGATGCATCTTGCTAAGATATGCACAGACTAAACAGAAATAAAGCACAGATGCTCTCTCTGACACTATTCAAAAGCTATGGCGGCTTGATGCTGGGATGCTGACGGTAGTTTCAGGGAAAGTGTGTGGCAGTGCCACTCCTGCTATCCCAGGTATCCACTGCCTCTGTAACCAGCTCACTGCAAAACAAATGCTGAATGCTCTTTTCACTTTTTTTCATAAAAGGAAAAATCCTCTTCAGATTTCTTTTGGTTATCAAAAGCAGGGTCTAATGTAGGACTTTCACAAAAGTGAAATGGCATAATGCAGACTTTTGAAAAGCAGGCGATTCCTCTATTGTCGTATATCTTTGCTTGGAAGCCAGTGTGTTTTTTTCCCAGAATGGAGAATATAAGGCTTGGACTTCCCATCAGTTTTCTGATGTTAGCTGTGCTTGGACTCCTCATTTATATGGCCGCAAGATCCCATCTGAATGGAAAACTCATTTTATTACTGGTGGAAGGAACCACTGATGTACAAACGAGTACTGACTGATTATATTGGGTGCATCATCAGGATTTTTACTGAGAGAACTTTGTAAAATGATTATTGAGAGTGTAAGAACATGAAAAAGTGAAGAAAGACCAGAGCATTTAAAAAAAAAAAAATTGGAGAAGTGTAGCTTAGAGAACACCGCTCCTCTACACAGTTTGCCCACACAAAAAAAAGGCAAAAAGAAAGGCCCCGGGTTGGCAATGTTTCAACATTTGTTAAATGTGGCAGTTAGATACTGTCATGTCCCTTGGAATCCTAAACTTACAGAAAACTACTTCCATCATGCCATAATTGGGGTCCAAGACAGTCACATAAAACATGAATTTGAATTATTGCAAAAAACATTATTCATGCTGTCTGTATAATGTTTGAGGCACAAAGGTTAACATATGACACACTGTAAACGATTGTCCATACACTGAACTGAAAAAATCCTAAATGCAGTCGCATTGTAATCCCACCTTCTTCCACATTCATTCCCAGAAATCAAACTAGCTTGCGCAAGGGTTTGAAACTCTGTGGATGTGGGGTTTCGTTTTATTCAAATCTATCCATGAGAGTCAAAACTTTTTAAATCTGACTACCCTTCTTCAAGATCTAGTATATTTCTCTTCAGCCTGTTTCTATCTCCCTCTCATCATTATTAGTCAGTTAATTGATTTAATCTTTTAGTGGATCTGAATGACTGCAAGGGTTGTAGAACTCAGCTGTAAACATATATTTTTGTGAAATGAAAGGATTTTGATATTGATACTTCAGAATGGGAGGAAACAGGTA